CTTCTCGCTTTCTATTTTCATGAAACCACTCACCAGTCCCTGAAGTGGCCTCCTCCCCATGCCTGCATTATTTCTCATACACCGTTTCTACTGAAGTTCCTCCATCCATCCCACATGTATACACTTTTCCTTGTACTTTCTCCTTGTGTAAGAGACCCTCCCCCCCCTATAAACCACAACTTGATTAACGAGGAAGAAACCCTAAACCGGCAATCCAAAGGGAACCTTCCAGGGTGGGGACCAGGGAAAAACACCTACCCGGGTCAATTCCCCTGTGGGGGGAGTCAGAAGATTCTGGCCCCTGAGGGACTCGCTATGGGCATGTCTCACATCAACAAGTGTGAGAGGGCCGTGGAAGTGGCAGACTGATATGAGAGGTGGATGAGGATAGAGTGCCTGGGGACAGCCAGAGGCTCCTGTGGCCATGAAAAGAATCCAGAATGTTCCATGAGTTTGGAGGAAGCTGCAGCGATCTGCGACAGGCCTGAACCAGCCCACCACTGGCCTCAGGGTCCTCCTGGGTGAGGCTGGAGTAGGCTTTCTCAACCACGGCACTGCTGACATTTGGGACCGGCTACGTTTTGTTGTGAGGAATTGTGCTGTGTGTTGCATCCCTGGCCTCTCCCCTAAGTCATGAGAACTGAAAAGTCTCCAGACATGGCCAGGTAGTCCCTGGGGGGAATCATCCTCTGGTTGAGATCCACTATACCAAAAGAATCAACCGTGGGAGTGGGAGGAAAGGGAAAATGCTTTCACTAAGATGCTCCAAACAGAAAACGAATCCCATGCATCTTGAATTTGACTGACAAATCACAGGGGTGGATTGAATTGCTGGGAAGAGCAAAATGGAGCTGGGTTTTAAAACAAAGGCAGCTCAGGAGGAGGAAAAACCGGATCGGTTATAACATAGTTTCATTTGTGCTTCTGAGTTGGGGCCTGATACAACCGTGAGATGTCAGAATGCTCCCCCTTGGTTCTCAGGCTTTAGCTGAGCCGTCACCACGGCCAGGAAGCCCAGCCCAGCACTGGAAGCCTTCCTTGATGCTGGGAGCATGCCTCACTCTACATCATGATTGTCTGTTTATCTCTCTGGCTTCTATCTCTAGACTCTTACATCATTCCTTGAGTACAGGAACTGGGGGGGCCGTTGTAACCTTAGCACTAGCACACTAGCTTCTCAATAAGTGTTGGGTGAATAAATGATTAGCGTAAAGTGCAAATCCCCTGACTTAATGACACTTTCCACTGTAATCTGTTATGTACTCTGGGGGAAGGATGAGAGAGGAGGTTTGACGAAGAAGAAGATGAGGGGATAAGAGGCAAAAACAATAATTTTTTGTGATTAATATAAGGCAATTTCCAAAAGGACAGACAAGCACCTTGTGGTAGGAATGCTGGGTGTCTTCGTCATTTTGGTCTGCTATAACTAATTACGATTGACTGGGTAGCTTAAACAACAGACATTTATTTCTTATAGTTCTGCAGCCTAGGAGTCCAAGATCAAGGTGCCAGCAGACCTGGTGTCTACTGAGAGCCCACTTCCTGGTTTGCAGATGGCCATCTTCTCAGTGTAACTTCACATGGGAAGAGTGGAGACAGAGCAAGCGCTTGTGTGTCTCTTATAAGGGTACTAATCCCATTAGAGAGGGCTCCACTCTCATGACNTGGGGCCTCCCCAGGTGCCACCTCCTCTTCCTCCCTCCTCAGTGATGGAGGTGAGAGGCTGTGGTTCATGGGCATCCTGTTTTTCCTCTGTCAACTCTACTTGGGACATGTAACAGAAACACGGGCACTAGACCTCCCCCACACAAACGCTTATTGTGACATTTTGTAGTCATAGGATGGTGAGGCCGGAGGTATGTTATACTGAAAAGGACCAAACATACATTGTGTTAAACAGTCCTAACCCTAACCTTACTCTTACTATTGTTAAATAGTAGGAGGAAGTACTAGAAACTTTGGGAGGCTCCCAGGTTGGGGGTCTCAGGGGTGTGAGAAGTAGTGAAGAAGACTTAGGGAACTTCCACAGAGCTTGTCACTTTACCTCTCTTTAATCAGAACCTCCAGCTGGCCAGTCCTTTCAATCACCTCTAAGAAAATATGCCTAAAAATTATTTCTATATGAACGGGTCGCTTTTAATTTGGAATGTGGTCCAATTGGTTTTAAAAGTACATACTTATTTCATGTGTTTTCTTGACCAATTTCTGGAAGTCTGGCATCCTGGGCACAGCATAGGTTCCAGAGTGAATGGCACCGGGATTTGTGTCTCAGCCCTGTCACTCTCTACCTGTGTGATCTTAGACAAATTTCAGAGCCTCAGTTTCCTCCTCAGAGAAATGAGACTGATTCTTCCTGCACCATGGACGAGAAGTGAACTCACACTTTTAAAGAGCTTACTTAGCACAGTGCTGAGACAAATTCGGAGCTTGGTAAATATTCTCTCACCTCCACCTTTTCTTCCTGTATCTATTTAATACACAGATGTGCTAAAAAAAAAAAGAAATAAAAAATAAGAAAATAAAAATAAAATAAAAAAATCACCCAAAACAATGCAGTGAGACAAAAGCCAATGTTTATTTATCTGGATTTTGATTCAAGCTAGTTTACACCTCCGTAGTGGAGTGGTCATGTTCTCCCCATGATGTGACTTGTGCAGAGTCCTCAGTGGGTCGCAGGGGAGTGTTATCACACAGATGGAAAAGGTGGCAGAGGTGTTTCCTAAATTCCTTGTCGAGAAGCCCGTAGAGGAGCGGATTGACGCAGCAGTGGGTGCTGGCGATGATTCTCGTTATCTGAACACTTTTGTCCAGGTTGTAGCTGCTCTTGCAGTCCTTCAGGGAGAAGCATTTCTTGAAAGTAGACAGGAAAAGTGCCATACCATAGGGTCCCCACATCAGCAGGAAAACAACCATGATGGCGAAAACAAGCTTGAAAAGGTCATACTTGCTCTCCCTGGACCTCAGTGTTTCTCGCATTCGCACGTAGCAAAATATGAAAAGCAGCAATGGAACGAGAAGTCCCACAATGTTCATCTTTAAGGTGAGAAAATGCTTCCAGAACGTCTCGTCACCTGGAAGAAAATGTGGTCTGCTAAAGAAGCACTTGTGTTCCTGGCTTTGTAATCCCATCTGAGATTTGTAAGAGAGGAATTCAGGCAAAGTGACCAGGATGGTCATTACCCATGCCAGGACACTCGTGATGATGCCACAGGGCACCTTCCTGGCGGCTGAGAAGTTTCTCACGTGGAAAAACACCAGGTAGTTCTTCCCAGTCAGAAGGACATTGAAAAATGCCTCACTGTGCAGCCCCATGGAGGAGAGAGCAGCAAGCATCTTACACATGGAAATGCCCACAAGCCCCCCATGGGAGGCACTGTGAGCCCAGAATGGCAGGGTTAGCAGGAAACACAAATTAGAAACGGCCAAGTTGAGGAAATAGATATTTTCCACGTGTCTGAGCCTTTTATATTTCACCAGGATAAACACAACCAAGAAGTTGTCCAGGAGACCAACCAGGAAGACCGTGGTGTAGAGCTGAGGCACCAGCTGGGCGGACAGGGTCTTGGCGTCATACTGGGGGCATCGCTCTATTTCATTGTTATTGAGCTCGTCTTCTATGAGGACGTCATAATAATCACCGTCTGGTGCTGATGTGTAATTAGCCATCTTCGGGCCACCCTGCAGATAAATGAAAAATGATTTTCCCTCCAGACAGCTGTATGGTCCTGGAGCAGAAAACAAGTGGGACTAGTGTCCATGCAGCAATGCTTTCCCTCTTCTGGGGCTTAACTTTAGCCAGAGGAGGTCTACGTCTCAGAAGATTGAAAAGAAACATTTCTTTAACACGCCCCTGCCTCCCGAGTGCAGCCCATCTATTCACGAGGCGCTTAGGTGCTTAGATGTGTGCTAATCGCAGATACAAGGAAGCAGGACACTTCTTCAAAGAACTTTCTCTTGGTATAAACAAGATCTGCCCTCTTGAAAACAATATATAAGAAAACACACAATTAAAGAGAACCGAGTACTGTGGGTTAGTTTCACAAAACTGGTGTCAGTCATAATTTCTACATGTTTAAAAAGCGTTCTCACCCCCTTGAAACAGCTTCCTGTGACAGGCTGAGAGGTCTGAGTTCTTCTCTCGAAGGATATGAACAAACGTTTACAAAAGCGAAACCACCCTAAGCATCAACATGGACAGAGCTGGTTGAAAACATAGATGACTTACCACTTGAACGAGTTCCTGGGGAGAAGGCGGTGGCCTCCTGACCCACCATCTGAGTGGCTGTGGGAATGGCCTGCAACAGTGGAAAGCCCGGCTTCCTTTTGAACAGAAGGTCCTGACCTTCAGGGACAAGAGAAAGCCCTGTTTCTTTCCGGCAGCTCTGCCCACCAGTCATAGGTCTTGGGAACTGATGGAAATAAAGGCACTGGAAAGCTCCCCCAGACCCCCGGGATGTTTCTTAAGCCTCTGAGAGAAATGGGGAAGTTGTTTTCTCCTCAGCCTCCCCCTGTACCCGGCCTCTGATTTCCCCATGATCTGTAGACAGCTGTCCTCCTGGCTTCCCCAGATAAAGGAACTCAGTTACAGCTCCTCTTTGGTGATAGGGAGGGAGGAAGGGAGGGGTAGGGAGGTGCTTCTGACATGCAACACACTGCGCAGGGAATAGTCGAGGAGAAGTGTCACCCGGGAACGCTAATACTTGCAGACCCCACGGGCCTGAGGCTCACCTGCAGCCTGTTGTCAGCGTTAGCAGAAGCCCATTCCCTGAATCAGTGAGATTCACTGATTATAGTGAGACCCCCTAGTGAGTAACGCATGCTTACGTTTCTATCGCCACCTTTGAGGGTGCCTGTGTGGAAGGGGCTGCCGTGAGAACTGATGCGGGAAACCCAGGGGTTAGGAGCTGACCCTACTCCGAGTAGGAGAACCCAGCACAGGAAAATTCCATGATGAGGACTTGGAGGTGTCATCAAGTCAGGGAACAAGTTCAACCCAAGACAAGGCTGGGTGGGGGTGGGGTGAAGTTTGAGGCCGGAGAGCAGAGACTGAGAGAAGAGTCCAGATTTGGAGTGGGGAGAGGGGAGGTGAGGAGGAGGGAGGAAGACGTGGGTGGTTTGGAAGAAGGATGGATTGGGAAGAGGAACTTGAAATAACTGAAAAATCTGTAGGAACGTCTCCCAGATCAACTGTACCTGTGATTGACCTATGGTGGGGCCCGCTCTTACAGATTGGCTTAGTGTTCCTGTTGCCAGTTAAATGACATCCTGTTAATGCCAAAGAGGTGTCTGAGGCAGCTTTCCATACAGAGCATGGGCCTGTTCAAATAGAACTAGAAGTGAGGAAACTGTTAAGAGAAAGGAAAAATGAACATAAGAAGGGCCCAGACGGATATGTGATTGAACATTAAATTTAACTCAAAGGGAAATGCATGGCATTTCTTTGTATGGAGTGGTTGGTGTTGGTGGGAACTGGGGCTGTGACAGTCCCTCCCCCCCGCCCCCCCCAGCATGAGCTTTTGTGAGTGACTGAGGGTCACTGTGCCCTGGGAAGCTCTGCCCACTGGTGGTGGCCGAAGCCTGGGGACCAGCAGCGGTCATTCCTCTTGGGACCCTCTCTTCTGTAGCAGGACTGTGGAGCCACACCAGGCCTCCCCAGGACCTGGAGTGAGTAGGTGATGGCGTCTTTTCATGCTTTATTGCCTGATGCTCACTGGTCAGTCCCAGACAAGGGGACGAGAGTCAAGTCCAACTTTGAGACACGAAAAGCCCATGAATATACACCCCGCACGTGATGTGGTTAAGTGAAGTGAAATGGCAGCAGGCAGGCGCCTCCTATGNAAAAAAAATAAACAAATGGGACTACATCAAACTAAAAAGTTTTTGCACAGCAAAGGAAACCATCAACAAAATGAAAAGACATCCTACTGAATGGGAAAATATATTTGCCAATGGTACATTTTATAAAGAGCTAATATCCAAAATTTATAAAGAACTCATACAACCCAATACCAAAACAAAACAAAACAACCCATATTCAATTAAAAAATGGGCAGAGGATCTGAACAGACATTTCTCCAAAAAGAACATACAGATGGCCAGTAGACATATGAAAAGATGCTCAACATTACTAATCATCAGAGAAATGCAAATAAAAACCACAATGAGATACCACTTCACACCTGTCAGGATGGCTATCATCAATAAATCAACAAACAACAAGTGTTGGCAAGGATGCAGAGAAAAGGGAACCCTCACGCACTGTTGGTGGGATTGCAAATTGGGGCAGCCACTATGGAAAACAGTATGGAGGTTACTCAAAAAATTAATAATAGAACTACCTTATGATCCAGCAATTCCATTCCTGGGTATTTATCCAAAGATAAATGGTGGCTGATGTTCCCAATTTGCAGTGGGGCCTCTCCCACACGCCTCCAGGTTTAGCACAGGCAGTGAACGACTGTGGATCGCTTTATAGCTCCTACCAGGCAGTGGGTGACCTGGGCCTGCATGAGAGCCCCTCCCAAGAGGCCCCAGAGCCAATATACTTGGAGGTTGGCTTCAGACCACAGCAGAGCAACGCTCAATTAGCCCCACAGGCGGCATACCCTAAGGATGGTCTCAACAGACACCAGAGCCTGCAGGGGCAAATCCCATTCAGTGGGTAAGCCCCTGCACAGCAGCCTGTAAGCTGCAAATGTGGCCAAACCCCACAGTCAGTCTCACTCACTGACATGCCAATAGCAATCAAGGCTCAACTATACCTGAAACTAACAATAAAAAAAAAAATAAGTCTCAACTATAAACAGCTGAATGTAAAAATGCCCCCTCTACATTTTGTGTGGTGAAGGCGGCTCAGGGACACCCTTTTGGTTTGCTAATGTGGCCACAGGGGGGCAGTATAGCCCAAGGTTCTCAATGGCGTTGAAGGCCTTTCCATTGAAACGTGTTTGGAAAAAGATTACACGTATACTTTTTTTTC